CCCCAAAACCCCAAAACCCCAAAACCCCAAAACCCCAGATATCAATTGCAAAATTGAAGAATTCTTATAACTGAATTTCGGTTAATTCTACCTTCACGAAACAAGTTACTCAACTTGCAAATTCTCTTGGTTATTGCTTGAATCGAACTGTGATACCTCAATGGTCTTATTGGTTCTGCCCACACAGCTATTATAATTGGATTCCTTCAAAGGAGATTTACAGATAATTTCTTCATGCACGAAATTTTTCTTAAGCGCTTGTTTAGAAGTACTAGAAGTCATGTCCTTACTTCCCATTCTGTTGGCTCTAGATCTTCTCTGTCTCTTATTCTCAGGAACCTCTTGTACTCTCTTTTCGATTTTCTCTATCTTTGAAGACTGAATCTCAACTGTCTTTGGAGTTTCATCGGAATCTGATCCTTCAAAAGAGCTTTCATCTTCATAATTATTTTCACAAATATAGTCCAGTCTGGATACCTTGCTGTCGAGATGTGTATTCTCCCAAGCTTTATTGACTATCTTCTTCACTGCTTGTTCCTCCATGATGCTCTGCTGGCTGTGAAGTTTAGGCTTTGTCCTATTCTCTGCTGCTTTCTTCCTCATTTTCTTCGTCTTCTCCTTCAATTTTTCAGCCTTTTGCCAAGCTTCAGACATAATCTGGGAAAACATCTGCTCTTCTTGGATAGAGTCCTGACTTCTGAGAGCTGGCTTCTTCGGTTTATTGGCAGATTTCTTCCTCTTGGCCTTCTGCTTATCCTTCTTCTTCTTTAGATGATCAGCTTCGACAAATGCCTTGCTGACGATCTGGTTCACAAGAATTTCTTCATTGATAGATTCTTGAGTCCTGAGTGGAGGTCTTTTGGGCTTCTTGGTCTTAGCAAGTTGCTTCTTTTGCTTTTCCTTCTCTGCATTGATCCAAGCTTTCTGCATGACACACTGGAGTTCAGCATCAGTGATGGTCTCCTTCTTCTGAAGAGGTGCTTTAGCTGGCTTCCTCTTCTTTTCAGCAGTTGAAGGTCTGGAATATTGCTTTTTACTTGCTAAAAGTCTTGAACTGCTTCCATATTTCTTCCTGGCTTCGATGATTCTGTTTTCCCGCTCTTTCCTCTCATCTTCCTGAGCTTTATAGGTGTTTGCCTTAGATTTGGAAGCTTTTATTGATCTATCAAACTCGCTAGTGTTTGACCTCTCTGTCATACATGCCATCGAAGGTGAGCTGACTACTCTGGTAGAACTCATGAAGCTTCTCTCTTCTTCAATTTGAGAATTATGACTGACACAGGTACTTTTACGACCAACGTCGAACTTTCTTGTCTCAGTAGGAAGAATTTCTGGAGTTGAGCAGTTCCGTTCTTGATTAGAGGCTTTTCTTTTGAAATAAGCATGCTGGATTATCAATGCTTTTGAATTTAAAATAAAAATATTCTTCTCATAAATCCTGAACTCAAAGCTGAGGTCCATTAAGCATCGATTGTACTCACCAGGTGCATATCTGACCTGGCTCCATCTCTCAATTGCATACCTAATTCCTACCTTTCCTTCCAAGTTCCTCACCTCCAAGCCCCTTAGAGCATTGATGCTAGGTTTCTTAACGGACATTTGCTTAAAATGGGATATAATTTAAATTAACTAAAGTTTGGAAATTTGATATTTCAACATAAAATCCTGATGTTGGGGTTTTGGGGTTTTGGGGTTTTGGGGTTTTGGGGTTTTGGGGTTTTGGGG